GGCTTGGAGCAGCCTGGGCTGGTGGGAGGTGTCCCTGCCCATGCAGGGGGTTGGAACTGGATGATCTTTAAGGTTCCTTCCCACCCAAACCAGTCCATGATTCTGTCTTTGGGGGCCCATTGGGGCTGGCTCCAACAGCCTCCCTTCCTGCTCCTGTCCTGGCTGGGAAAAGGCCCCCCCAGCAGCCGGCGCCTGCTCCCTGGGTGCTGCCCTGTTTTTATGAAGTGCTAAATGCTTGACCCCATCTTGCACGGGTCCAGCATATGCCTCACAGAGCCAGTTATGTCACCTCCAGGTTCCTCATCCTTCACTCTCCTGCAATTAAACAAAAAAGCACATTTATGTGGTAGAGCAGCAGTCGTGCTGCAGGCATCCTCACCCAGGGACCTGGTGGGAGCTGAAGGGGCTCACGGGGTCATGTCCACCAGCAAGTGCCACTGATAAAGGCCCCCACAAGCAAGTTAAACTGCTTGACATGGTGATGTGAAGCTGCTGTAAAGCCCTTGGGCTTGGGTCATCCCTTTGGAACAGCTTTATGTGGAACAGCCACGGGCTCCTCTGCACCCTCCCAGGGACAAATCCTGCTCCTTCTGAAGGGCTTCAGTGCTTTCACCTTTCACAGGAGGAAGCTGGCACCCCAAGGGCTTTCTTTTTTGAGTATTTTGGGGGTTTGGTTCACCCTGGGGAGCAGAAGGGCTGTGCCAAGGGTGAAGCTCGAGGCTGTGAGTCCTGGTTTCCTTACTGCAGACTTGTATAGATGTTAAATCCACTTTGGGGACAGCAAATCCCCGGGGTGGAGACCCCAGCAGAGCTGAAATCAAGAGGAGGAGGTGTCCTAGTGCTCCTGGCCCTGAAGAAATCACTACAAAGAGAGAAGAGCAGCAGGGTGGGTTCCAAAAGTGGTTGAAATCAACTCAAAACCAGCCAGGGTGTCAGCAAGGGGTGCAGGGAATGTGCTGTGGTTCAGCCTCTCTGGGGAGGGAGGATTTGGGGTAGGAAAATCCCGGCAGGGTTGGCCCTGCTCTTTGCTGACATTCTTTCCACTGACCAATCCCCCAGCTGGAATCCGGCCCGGAGCAGGAACGAGGAGATGGGAGATGGTTTCTGATGTTCCTGATGGAAAAAAAAATTAAAAGGAAATAATAATCCCTTCTGAATTAAAGACAAAGCTGGAGAGACGGGGCCGAGTGGTTGGAGTCAGTGGGGAAGGGCTGGGGATGGGTTAAAACTTGGCCACACTGCTGCTCATGCACAGTCCATGATTGTGCCTCAGTTTCCCCATGGGGAAGGTGGGAGCAAAGCTGGGAGAGGATTGGGGCAGGAGGGAGTTGTGGCTTTGGGTACGCACAGCTACAGAGGCTGGAGAGCAGCTGGGGTCAGCCTGAGCTGGGGCAGCAGGATCCAGCCCAGCTCAGCACGTGTGTCAGGGCATGGGGAACCAGGGAAATGGGGTTCTTGGGTTTAGAGCCTGGGAGAAGCCACAAAAATGGATTTTGTGCCAAAAAAATGCTGCTCTGGGAGGAAGGGACTTGGCCAGGCACCTTCAAGAAGCCTGTGGTGGAGGAAAGGCCAATCCTGGTGAGGTTCTGCCTGCTCTACCTGCTCTGTTCCTGTGGGATGGGCAGGAGGGACGGGCAGCAGGAGGGACACAGGGATGGGTGCTGTGTCCCCAGCGCTGCCCATGGGGACAGGGCTGGACACGAGGTGCTCCCTGCATCAGGATGTCCCTGCTGGGGCTGTGTTCCTCCTCTTCTCCATGGCTACAGCAGAGGCAGGATCAGGCTGTTACATGGTGACAAGCACCACTAGGATGAGGCCCTGGGAGATACTGGGGGAGAGCAGGAGCAGTGTGGGGCAGAGCAGGGTGGGGAGATGGGAGAGACCAGGCCACTGGGAGCACTGGAGTTGTTCAGCCTGGAGAAGAGAAGGCTCCAGGGAGAGCTTAGAGCAGCTTCCAGGGCCTGAAGGGGCTCCAGGAAAGCTGGGGAGGGACTTGGGACAAGGGCAGGGAGGGATGGGATGAAGGGGAATGTATGAAAAATGGAAGAGGGAGATGGAGGTTGAAGATGAGGAGGGAATTCTTTGTTGTGAGGGTGGTGAGAGCCTGGCCCAGGTTGCCCAGGGAAGCTGTGGCTGCCCCATCCCTGGCAGTGTTGAAGGGCAGGTTGGATGGGGCTTGGAGCAGCCTGGGCTGGTGGGAGGTGTCCCTGCCCATGCAGGGAGGTGGATCTAGGTGATCTTTAAGGTCCCTTCCAACCCAAACCAGTCTGGGATTCTGTGACACTGTGCTGGTGTCAGCTCCAGCCACAGGGTCCAGCCTTGGATCCAGGCTGCCCTGGGATCGAGGGCAACAACCATGAAGGGACGAACGAGCCCTGGCTGGGCAGGTTGGCCATGAGGCCACCACGGGTTCCCCCCTACCCAGCTGTAACTGAAGGGACCAGATGAGTCAGGAATG